CTATACAATGGGTATAGGTTGAATTCAAGTAGATGATAATAACCAAATTATTTCTCAATTTAATGCTCAAATAAAGTTTTGGCCATCTTCTTATAAAGCAGAACTTTTAGCTATCTTATCAGCAATTTCAACTACTCCTTGCAACTCAACAATTAACATCCATACAGACTCTTAATCTATTATCTCCAAATATAACAAACTTATATCTCCTATTTTTAATCTGAACAAGCTTTTTAAATTTAATGTCTAGCCATTATGATATACATTCCTTATTATTATTAAATCTTATAGACTGCACATTATTTTTTATAAAGTTCAAACTTACACAGATAATTCTTTTAACAACTTAGCAGATGCATTAGCTAAACAACACATAATTATTCTATATCTCAACTTTAACTATACTAATATCTATAATCTATATCATATTTTACAGTACGAAGATAAAAAATTTTTTGTCGAACAACCTACTCGATCCTTTATTAAAACTATTTGTAAAGCTCACATCTTGGCAATGTAGTCATCTCAACAATATAATGAAGAATAGTCTCAAACTAATCACAAAATTGACTGGTGATCAACCTGGTTATACTTCAACCATAACCACAAACCTACCTATAATATTACAAACTTCAAACTCAACCAACTTAAATTTTTCAAAATTAAAACATTATTGAAAAATTTACCTACATATTTTCTTTATCACACTCTTTATCCTACTACTTTTCAAAACTCTAACTGTTTCTACTGTGGAGCATTAGATTTCTCTTCATATTGGTTTACATATTCTAATCCTTCTTTACTTCTGCATATTATTAATACATATATTAAAAGTTATATTAATTCAATAAAATTAGATTTAATATTAGATCAAAAAGCAGAACTTGTCTATCAAATACAACATTACAAAGCATTTAGCTTTGTTGGAGTACAGCCTACTTAGAACTTACACTTAAAGGATTAATTCCTCAATCTATAGTTCAAACATTTTAAGACTTTGGCATATCTTATAAACAAGCTTCTACACTATTATTGAATTATTTCTTAAAATCAACGAACAAGTATATAAACAACTTTGGAAGCCCTATTGTGCTAATTTCTCTTACTGGAGAAAGCAATTACAAATCACATATTCATACTCTAAATCTAAAGAATTACTATCAACTACTCACAAAAATAACCATCCTCGCACAAACTATACTTTTTCCTGCCTATGTGGCATAGCAGACCAACTCTACTCCCACTTAAGCACCTGCCCCCCTGTGGGTCAAGCTATACGCAAAATTGGTATCTGGTATATATACTGGATTAAATATAGTATTTTTTTAAATTTTATCCTTACTTTAAAAATCTAAATGAGTCTTTGACCACTCTAGTAGGTTTAGATCACAGATAAATATATTTGAGCTTTTATTTTTGCATGTAATTTTAATTTTTATTTGTATTTGTACAAGTAGTAGTATTTCTATATAGTCTTTATATAGTTATTATTTTTAAAAATTACTAATAAAGATACGAGCAAGGCCTCACCTTAACACTAAAAAAAAAACAATTATTATTTAAAGAAACTTAAGTATTTGATCTATAGTTTATAAAATTATTAACTATTAGTTATAATATTACTTTATATAAATATATTGTAGAATTTTCTAATCCATCTATAGAGCTTTTATAAGAATAGTCAATTTATTGTAATATCAATTTAGCAAAAATTGAATTTAATAATTTAGATGAATTTTGTGCCAAAATTTCATATTAATTACCACTTTTAAATGCAATAGCTATAAAGTATATTTGGCTACCAATTTCATCTTATAGTGTAAAATTTAGTTTTAGTATTTATAACAAAATTTTAAATGATAACAGACAAAATTTAAGTGAGGAATCATTTTAGATACTTACTATTATATATTATAGGAATAGTTTTATAGTGCTATAGCACTGTGGTGCCATGGTGAATCACGTGATATCGAACCAATCAAATTACAAATTTAAATATCTATAAAATTAAACACTATAGCACTAAATAGTAATTATATATAGCAAATATACAAATTATACGTATACCAGCAGACTAAGGTTGCTGGTGCAAGCTTAATTTTAATGATGCACAATGGTGCACTATTAATAAATACTATTGAATAAAAATTTAGTAGTGCATCAAGGCGCACCATTAAAATTATGCAACTCTACAGCAGACACACATGAGAATTTAAGCTAATAATAATGTAATGACATAGTGCGATAAACTACATAGAGGTGCAGACATATCGATGTAATAAAATCGTAACTTAATTACTTAAGTATAAAAGAAAATAGGTCATAACTAATAACGACAATATGTTTGCACCTTTACGATAAACTGATTCAATGATTTTTAGCAGTTACAAAACATTAATTCTTAACAATACAAATCATACTCAAAAATCCAAAAGATCAAAAAAAAAAATTTTTAAACTTGCTAGTGAGACGTTAAATCAATATTGCATCTACTAATGTATCTGGTATTTAGTTGCGTGATACTTTGGTAAGGGTGATTTGCATATCTAGTAAGTGCGCATGAATATAGTGATAAGCAAAATTGCAGAAGACGAAAAGCTATCAAAATGTGTTAAACAGATGAAACAAAATTCAATAAACGGCTATACAAATATTAAAGAGAATTAGAAGATATCTTAGTTAAGTTTATCATCAATTATTTGCTTGGTCTCTTTACTAAACTATATTTGCAAACCATATCTTACCTAATCAACATAATAATAAGTAATTACAGTAGTTAATTTTGAAGGGTCAACAATCCTAACAAAAAAAAAAGAAAACCAAAAGCTTCATATAAAATAGAATATAAATTTATTTTATCATTCAGACAAAACTGTGCTCTAAGCCTCAAAAAATTGTAACAGTAACTTACTTATGGCTTCTTCGAGTGCTAATTAAATCCTAATAATACTTTTTAGTACTATTGCAATTGTTGATTTAAAAAAAAGCAATATACTATAGAATAACACAATATATTTTCATATATACACAAATAAATCTAGTAAAATAAACATAGCTATTTATTATATACAAAGCAATATTGACAAATTCATCTTTAATGTTTATGCTAATTATTTTTATTCTCATTACACTCCTTCAGTTATGACCTAAACCATTACAATTGCTACACCGTGATTGCTGTCTACTACCTTTCGGTGGCTCACATGAATGCTGTTTTCTATCAGTTTCTTTTGGTCTTTCTTTTACTTTATGTTTACGAGGATTCACCAAGTCTTTAGGACTAAGATTATCATCATTAGATTTACTAGAACTTTCTTTATTTTTGTCTTCCACATATAATCGCTCAACTTGGTGCTCTTTTAAATAATTATCTAAAATCTCAATAAATTTAAGATCACGATTTTGAACTGCCAAAAGTGTCGCAGCTCGTGCTTTCCCTTATGTTTCTCTATATAATTGACGTTCTTTTATAAATTCTTGATTGCCATCTTGCATTACATCTAAGTGATCTTGATTTAATACATTAAGATAATTTATATTCATACTGGCCTGATGAATCTGAACACTGGATACTGAATCCTTTTCAAATTTTGGCGCAACTATAAAAGGTTCATGTGGTTGATTGTTATGTATTTCTTTGTACCAGTGGGGATGAATCAATTTGATATGAAAAGTTGCAATATTTGTATATAACATGACTTGGAAAAAATAGTGGCAGACAAATTCGCGATTACAGTAATCAAGATATGTACATAAATAAAGACTATTGTACAGTAAAATGACAAAGTGCTGTGTATTTTTTTTTGTGACATGTCGTACGGTCTACATTTCTACAATCTGATTAGCTTCAATAAGATTAAGTAAAGCCTTTGCAGTAATAGCAATAAAGGTTTCATTATAAAAAAGATCAGAATCCTCAAGATTAACCTATGGATAAATAAATTTATGAAGTGTTAATAATTGTAAATTAATTTAAACAAAAAAATAAAAAAATAAAAAAAAATAAAAAATTAAATAGGCATATCATATATTACTGAATTATAAACTTGAAGCTCATTTTCAGCAACACAGCTAGCATGATAATGAAGTGCTTGGATTATTTGATCTTCCTGAATTTTCTGTGTCTCTTCTGTTAAATATGTGCTTAATAATTGACAAACATTTGGCAGTATTGTTTCTGCTGTTGAGAATAAAGCAATTTTGGGAACTGAGGCACGAAAAAGTGAATATTTAGTTCTTTTGTCTTCTTCATTAATACATATCGACGGTACATTTGCAAGCTTTAGAAGTATTGTATTGGAATTAAAAATCAGACTCTTGATTTTTGCATTGTAGCTTTCAACTCTAGAAATTGATGACATTCCAGCAGTAAATAAAGTTAAAACAAAGGCTTTTGCCCAAATTTTTTGGTTGGATAAAGTGTTTGTTTTAAATAACTAACAACTTTATCATGATTGTATTTATTGATCAGTTGCGTCCATCTATACTCGAAGATAACCTCAAATGGAGACCGTTGTGCATTATAGAAATCTTTAATAAACTCATCATATTGGAGTCCAAGACAGCCCTTAAGATTTAAAAAAAGGTTTTAGGAAATATGAAACATACAATGGAGAGCCCTTGTTGTAGGAAACTCATCACGAATTGCCACAGAGACTGCTAGATCAGTATCGGTAAAAATTATCTGGAGAGTAACATTATGTGTAGCATTCTTTATTTATTGAAAAACCTAACAATAGGACTCCATAGTCTCATCATCTATAAGTGCCTGCACCACTATATGTGAATGTAAGTGATTATCGACAATTAAAAATATTGAAAGGGCTATTTCATAACGATTAGTTGCCAATGTACAATCATTAAGAACAATATCATTATATTTCAACCAAAGTTCGATCTGCTCTGGAGACATATAAAACAACCGGCGAAGGCATTTCATATCAGGATTCCAATCTACTGCCACGTACCAACATGGATCATCATCTTTTTTTTTAGCAACTCTTCATATAAGCAAGCTGCATCATTAGTTTGGTTGCATAACTTTGGACAGAAGTGTTGTATTACTCATCTCAGAACTGGCATGTAAATTTTGTGCTCTGGGTAATTTTCTTCTAAGGCCTTGTGGATTTGCTGAGAATTACAATTCATTTTTTTTACATAAAATTCGATGTCCTCAAGCATCTTTTCAGTAAAATCAAGAGACTCCTGAAACAACCAGTATTGCGGATTAAGTTCATGATTTTTATATTCATCAATTATTTTTGTAATATAAACATGCTTATTAGGATTCTTTTTTTCAGGGCAATAAATATTTATTTGCCAAGTGCATCCAACATGTTTGGAAGTAGTCTTATGCTGTAGATTTCTACTTTTTGTTTTTTGAGGTTGACCAAAATGCTCACACACAATTGTGCGCTACTGAACATCCCTATTTTCTAGTTTGTCTACACGATAGCATCTAGTCCCAAATCCTTATAAAAATTTTCAAAAAAAAGTTCAGTTATTTTAAGATTTATATTAAAAAAAAAAAAATTAAGTATAACCAATCATACCTTTACA